GGGTAAACGTTTAATAAATCTATCTATACAGATTGATTACCCTTCAATTGTTGAAGTAGTAGCTCAAATCTTCAATGAAATTTGTTAAAATATACCTCTTGCAAAACTGGTTACAGATTTACTCTGTCGAATAATTTATGGCAAATATCGCTTTCCGAAACTGGCTCAGGTGAACGTTCAATAAATCTACTCATACAGATTGATTACCGTTCAATTGTTGAAGTAGTAGCTCAAATCTTCAATGAAATTTGTTAATGTACTGCTTGCAAAACTGATTACAGATTTACTCTCTGTCGAATAATTTATGGTAAATATCGCCTTCCGAAACTGACTCGAGTGTATGTACTCAGTATTTTTAAGTACAATTGCTGCTTACCGTATAACTATTGAAAAGTCCATATTGACAGCTCAAATCTTCAACACAGTTGGTCAATGTACCGTTGGCTAAATCGGTCAAATTGCCACTTGCATCGCGAATAGCTGCAGCGCCGGCAAACAGAACGAATGTAACATAAGACGCCATTGATATCAATAGTGCCAGCATAGTTCCTTTGGGTATTGATGAAGCAGGATCCTGAAAGGAAAAGTTTGTATCCTGGTAATAAATAATTTCATTCGCGATTTCCTTTTAAAGGAATTCCAAAAGCAACAAACTCATTTACGAAATCACATTAAATGTCTTTCTTTTTTCATATTAATTATTAAAATTAATAAGGAAGATTTGAGGCATCATAAAAATTTAAAAGGCATAAGTTTTAGTTAAAAATTGCTTGTCTATTTTAATATAAATTGAAGAATCTTCCCATTTCACTTAAGTTTGCATAATAAAATAGGAATTTATACGGACAATGGTTTATTGATGTTTTGTTTGGGAACTCAATAAATCATTTACTCTAAACATTGATAGATATCTGAACCTTTCTAAGTGTTTTAAAAGGGATTATTAATTTTTAGAAGCGTTTTCATGAATATTTAAAGTACATTCATAAAGGTAAACAAAACATGTCAGGCGACTCCACCATTTTTTAAAATATTAATCTATAATTAATTAGATAACTTATTCACCCTTAATAGACACTTACCTTTAAGTCACCAGAAATGTTGGCACCTGCTTGAATTCCTGTTACTGAAGGAAAAAAGATTGCGAAGACTTGAAAAAAATCGTACGTGATACCGTCCTGCGTCCTATAAGCGGAATACCAGTTTTCAGAGAAGGTACTAACTGAAAACAAAAAGGGTATGACGGAAGATGAAAACGAAGACTGTATTAATTATGTATGGAATCGTCTATTAAAATTTTGTTCTTTCCGCATACTAAATACTAACATCAATCATGTTAGCGCCTTATCTTGCCTTTGAAGATTTAGGGTTAGTCTTGTCGTTGGTCTTTCGAATTAAATCTAATCAAAATTTGCATTTCTTATCTAGTGGTTTCACTTTTACATATTACTGTCCAATATCCAGAGAAATACTTGTATTTAAAATGAAAATACAAAATAAAAA